GAGACCAGGGTCTGGAGGAAGTTGCGAGAGAAATCGGTACTTATCAAAATCCCTTTAGTACATTTTAAATTATTCCGCGTGACTGACCGTAGATAAATTACAACACAAAACTGAACTAACCGACGTAACATTGTTCAGACGCGCAACAAATGAGAGCAGCGAAGCCTCGCCCTATTTTCTGCTATCACTGACGATTTACGGGTACCGAGTTCTAGTCTCGACTGGCTACCGTAAGTTACTCCGATGACTACGGGCCTGTGTCCGTCGTCAGTTGCTCCAAACGCATTCTGACATCGAACTGCATCGAGCAAGTCCGCGAGAACCTGATAGTCGCTCAGTTGGTTACCAAATTCCCCGAAGGTTCGCCACACTGATAATCAAAATGACAACAACCGACTGGATTCGGCTTGCCCAGGATGGGGTTCCGTAGAGGCAGCGAACTCAGTGACTATCAGCTTCTCCAAGGAGTTATACTGGACCCCATCTCACACTTCCAAGAGATCCGAATTAGCGCGGTCTTGAACTGCGTCGTGAAACAAAGTCGATAATTGCTCAAAATGGCTCTGAAAACCGCAGCAAGATCGATGAAACCTCCACGCAAGGCCCGTCTTTTCTCGGTCATATCAGTCAAGATAACAAATCTTCTGCCCTCCTCCCCCTCCCAACTTCTGCACGCAACGTTTCGCGTCAGCAAGACTCAGGCAGGGCGCGCTTTAAATCTGGGGTCATGAGTTCGGACCCCACTCAGAGCGAGTCTTCTGTTGTTCTGGCGGAACAAGAGTCCGAGTGAACCCGTCAATCAAGGAACTAAAGTTCCTGCCACAGAGACATGTTGCTACTGACCTTGAAATGCAATTTAAAATTTAATCTGACGGACAACCTCAAAAGGCTTCTGTTCCGATCGTCAAGAAATCAATACATGGATGTCCAAATCATATCCACATACATGAACCTATCCTTCCTTCCGTCACACATTCTCCTGAATGATCTTTCAACAACAGTAGTCTAGAAAAAGTACTGCTTTTTTTGATATTACAAAAATAAAATTATCAAGATGGATCTTAATGAAACAGAGCATGTGAAAATGTGGATGAAATTAATCTACCTCAGGACAGGGTCCAGGATCTTGCGAATACAGAAATAATGTTTTGCATTTCATAAAAGGCTGGGCGACCATCAGCTTCTGAAGGGCAATTCGGCTCCACACAGTTAGTTAGGTTAGGTTAAATTGTTATCTACCGACCCACTGAAGCGATACGACGCGACTTTGAATTCACCGCGTTTTTGTAATTCTGTTGCAGACCTGAGGACAGCGTTTGGGCTGCTGGACAGAAACAGAGATGGCAGGGTGACAGCGAGCGAACTGCAGTTCATGCTGCAGAACCTCGGAATCCAAGTCAGAGACGAACTCATAAAAGACCTCATCAATGAGGCGAGCCATTCAGGTGAGGCCCTGCGGCCCGGTCCAGACCAGAACTGACTCTGAGCCATTTAGACGTTTCACGGGACTTTGGGAAAAAGATCCAGCTTGCACGGCATGACAAAGGGGAGCGGAGAGACAGCCGTGCCCCGAGCAATATTTGAGATCAGTCCCCATGCACTTCAAGAAAAGTTTTTCCACTGGCACTCTCTTTGTGTCTTGTATTCATTGAAATTCTGTTTAAAATGAACAGAATTTGACAGGAGGTACTACTAATTACGTGACATTCGTGCGACAGGTAATGGGCTGATTGACGAAACGGAGTTTCTGCAGTGGGTGGGCCGAATCCAAGCCCTGAGCCAGGACACCAGCGCTGACGACGCAGATGACATCACGAAGGACCTCATAGCTGCCTTTCGCGTGTTTGATCGCGACTGCAATGGATACATAACGAAGGTATAATACGGCTGGATGTTCTGTGAAGGGTGCCACGTGTTAACCGTTTTGGGGCTTCATTCTAGGTGCAATCCCCCCTTCTCACCATCTTTGTCAGTCTTACAGCAGAGGACGATCGATACAAAAATATGATAACAAGACGGCAAAGAGGAAAATGAAGAAGAAAGCCGACAGAAGGACAAAGGCTCGCCTGCAGATATTCATACGCTGGGAAAAGCGATTTTGGCGATTTGCATCACAGACTGAATACGATTTCTGACACATTCTTCACAGGGAAGAACCTATCATAATGAAGAGAGTACCACGAAGTTCATGTACAGAAACTACACCCACTATATTGCAATATTATAAATTCTGAATTTATTTTAAAATTGCCGAATAAATTTAAATAAACAATATTCAGCTGAAATAGCAGATCCCCACATCACAAACAGCGCTTGTCAGTGACACCTGTTGTCATTTCAGGATGAACTGAAGACGGCTATGGACATGATCGGAGAAAGCGTGACGGACGTGCAGCTGAACGAACTGCTGGCAATAGCCGACATTGACCACGACGGAAAGATAAATTATGAAGGTTAGTAGAGTGAAATTTTCAAATAGGTTTCAAATGGCACTATTTTATTCCTCGGAACCAGAGAATGACGCATCACGCGTCAGAACTTCGGCCTGAATATTTATTGATGTAGTCAACATTCATAAAAATGCAAAAGGTAACTAAATCATTACTTGCGTGAACACCGTGCAGACACACGGTTGCGAAACGAACGCGAAACAAAATGTTCCGTAATATGCTGAAAAAACCTGGCGCGGGAGTAAATTCTTTGACGAGAGACCGCAATGGCAGGTTTCAGATCCACAAATCACAATCCTGAAATCCATAATTTCCTCTTATCTTGCAGAATAAAATAATGTGGAATATAGGAGGACCATTGTTCTGTTCCAGAATTTGCGAGATTGCTCTTATAGACCGCGGCGCGGCCGACACGGTGCCGAGCGGTGCGATACCACAGAAATGTTGAAAATTAATGTTGTGACAAAGTAAATTTCAGTGTCCTCATGTTTGTAGGAAACAGAAACATGCATGTTTCGTCATTTGTAATATATGTTTGTGACACGGTAAGTTATTTTTTGTACCAATATTGGACCTTTTTATGTATTTTCTAATAAGTTTGTTGCATAGCTACAATACATGAAGTCATGTAGAATATGTGATGAAACAGGCCTTAAAGTGGTGACAAAAGCAGGCCACAAGAGTAAAACCGGTCCAATGTTTTATTGGGGACGTCTTTCATTTATGAAAAGACATTTACATGAATTTTTAATGTAGCCGTTCATCGTTGCTCTGTGTTAAGTTTTAATTTTTATAAGTTGTGATTAATAAATGCCTTGGTGCAAATTACGTGCCCCTCAACTTCATTTGCCGTGATGACAGTATACGTCAGTAATCACTTGTCTTAATTAATCTTAAATGCTACATCGAGACTAATTCTTTTTACAGGCACTAACAGACGCTATGGTAGCTGAACCTGTAGGTTCAGTGCTGCCAATACCAAATCGCACCAATGAAAACAATCCTCAGCTGGATTCTTTCATCCCCCATTCTCACAACCTATCTCTGTAAGATTCATATTAATGTTATCCTCACCACTCCTTTTCAGTCTAATCAGCAGGCATTTCCTCCCCAGAATTCTGCAGGCTCACGTACCATCCTACATAAATAACGTATCTCCACTCACCAGTCACTCTTGAAGCGACTTCAAATCCACGGCGCAGCTGACGCCCGACAATGCGGACGCTCGTATCCTGACAGCCTATATTTACTAGCCATTTCATGAGTCTTCTATATTAGATGACCACAAACAGCGTAGTGCAGGAGACGCCTGAAACCAAAGTAGACGAAGTGTTTGGTTAACAGAGTCAACGACACGGGAAGTAACAGGAGGGCGCGAAAAACTGCGCGATGAGGAGCTTCAGACCTCCTCGCCAAATATTATTAAGGTTATCAAATCAAATAGGATAAGACGGGTGAGGCAAGTCGGTGATGCGCACACAAAACCTGTAAGGAAGAGGCTACTTGGGAGACCAAGTCATAGGTGGAAAGATAATGTCAAAAGAGGAGAGGGTACGAGTGCAGGATCTTGCAAACGTGGGAATAAACTTTCAAGCCCCAAACAACGTACAGAATTTATTGACCAGCTTCTCGAGAAACTCTCTGCTCCGCTGAGGGCCATTTAGCTGATACAGTGAAGCCATCTTTATACGGGCCCAGGGACAAAATACAACATCTTAACCGAGAACTAGGGCAGTATTCGATAATTAAAGTGCATAAGTCATACATCACCAAATGACAGGACGACTCTTTCACCTGCCCGGAGGCCGCGAGGAAAATGAGAAGAAACTCGGTAAAGACGGCCGGTCTCTGGCAAACGGTTCAAACCAAAAACTTTCAAATATGAAACAGGACTGCAAAACACTTGACCATAATGTATGGTGACATGTAATTAACGAAGCTTCAATGTTTTTTTAAAATTAATTTCAGTTATAATATAACTTCACCACAGATAACATGCAGTACAGTACTTTTGGTTGCCATCTTTGGTTTCAAAACAGATGAGTTGCAGGGAACACCTTAAATACCACAGAGACAGCCAATGCAGTGTTTGTAACGAGTAATATTCACTACAAACATTTTATTTCTGGCTCTCCAGATATGAGGATCAGGCTTCTTATTTATTTGTGGTTTCTTTAACAGTGCTGTTCAATAACAGAATGAATAATGAATTTGAAATAATGTGGAATGAAGTGGTCATGACTTAATTTATGGTACAATCCTGGCATGTCCCTGGTGGGGCTGAGGAAAGCCACAATAACCCATCGGGATAGTTGGACTCTGGGCAAAGATTTAAACTTGGGAGCTACTGCATATGAAACAGCGTGCCAACAACTCTGTCTGCTAGGACAACACAACCAGACTCTACGGTGCAAAAAGAAATACGCCGATCCAAACGCTGGACAGACCCGGTTTCCTATGCAACGGGTATCACAGACTCTTTTCCTAGCTGAAGTGTGAAACTAACCATCTAATTCCATCTCGTGCTAAGGCTAAGAATGTATACCTCCATTCTCCCACAACTCATAATTAAAGTCTTGGGTCCTATCACTAAACAAACACACCCCATTCACTTAGGACCCGATGTTCGGAGCGCATTTATTATGCGGATCTGGCTATTACGCAGCCAAACAACACGCGCCTTTGGACCTCATAAGTCACTTCCTTAATGCAGCAACAGCAGCAGTTGAAAACTTTTACAGGAAGTGTCTATATACAACTTCAATCCCGGACTATCTCGTCCCTGAATGCCAGTGACGTTACGGCCTTCTGGTGACCATTGTACTCCCTCTCCACCACCCCGGTTTCCACATTCCAGAGGCGGGCCACTCCGTCAGACGAAGCTGCGTGCGAATAAGTACAACGTAACAATTAGTAGTTTTTAATGCAGTAAACCAAATGTAAAGCAGAACACAATACTGCAAGTAATATTACCTGTAAGGATGTATTGCGAGTCTGCGCTGAAAGCCGCGTCCCACACCCAGCGCTGAGCCTCGTGCTTCAGCTCCTGCAGCAACGTAAAATCTGACGTCTTCCATACGCGAGCCGTCTGATCAGCAGATGTAGTTACAAGCAAACTGCGAAAGCATAATGAAATTAAACGTGACTTCATACTCGAAGCTGCTAGTCAAATATTTCCCTACCTCTTATGGAATCTAAAAGGTCCTACCCATCTTCACTAGCTCTCGCAACCAAAACACATCCAAAGCCAGAAGAAGCCCTGATAAAGCTTCAAATTTAATTTTCCCCATCCTCATGAGGATAATAATTTTATTGAAAGCAATTAAGAAACTATAACAGAATGGTCCAAAATGTTGCAGTCTGGGATGTTACAAAGAACTATACTCTTCAGAGGAAGTCTAAAAGTGAAAAACCATTTCAAATGTGACTTGGCCCCACAAAACAGCAATCACCGAGTTACACGTTCAAGAGAATAACGGCCTGAAGCAATACAATTTTAATTTCTGATGTCTCAATATAATGTCCAGGTAAGCCGATTCAGCTATCGGACACAGAGAAAGGTACAGGAGAAATCAGCCATCCATCACAAGACACAATGTAAACCTTGAGGCCTTCGCGGCAATGTGAATATCACCGAGCTTCTGACCATGTGACACGTACAGCCAAAATACTCCACTGTATTCACTCGCATGCACACACGCGGAGTTACTTACGTTGAATCTGGACTGAACTTGCACTTCAGAGCACATCGCTGGTGAGCCTCGATTTTGTGTTTGGGGTTGAGTTTGGTGGGTTCCTCTGCGACCCCTCCTGTAAGGCTCCAGATATAACAGTGTCCACGATTGTTCACGGCTGCCATGTATGACCCTTCGGGATCCATCGCTATGTCCTGGATGGATGCCTCAGCCTCAGGTATCTTGGTAATTAAAACAAATACAGAATCAAAGACCACAAAAATATTCTGGGTGTTTCTGAACATGAATATCAAAAAGATGCTGCAAACACCTTTGCTTTGTAGGATGCGAGTTCTCACGGCTGAGAGTATGAAGATGGCCGTCTCCTCAGCTGTAGCGCCGAGCTGTCTGGTTGAAGATCGCCGGTGTTTCAGAGCTCCTGCTGCCTCCAACACAGGGTGATCATGGAGGTGATCGCTCTGATTGCGGAGGAAGAAAGGACCTCTGAAACGCCGGTGAACTTCAACCAGACAGCACGGCGCTACAACCCACACGACAACTACCTTCACTTTCTCTTGCAAAGTAAGATTATGAATCCAAGCAAACCATAACACAAAGAATACAACTTATTAATAATTTCAGTCAAATTTCTGCTGTTTCAATGCAGATGTCAGTCAGGTAAACAGATATGATTTCAATGCTGTACACAATCAAATCACAGGCGCACTTAATTCTATATGTCCCTTCCAATAAAGCTTTCAAATTTTTAGTGCTATAAACACGCAACAGTTTTCTGCTGTCTTGAAACTCCTACAGGAGGCACACGGTTATTCATTGTGTGCTTGAAACTGCAAGTCATATGAACATCAGACAAGTCCAAACTTCATTATTCTTCTGTCTTTTACTGAATGTATAACAAAGTTCCAACATTTGCTGTGTAATTTCAGTAAAAGTCTTTGAACCTGCTCCAAAGGCTTTGAAGCAGAGGATTAATGATGTAGTGAGGATATGTAACGTCTGAAGTAATGTGTACAAACGGAAATGAAAGATGAAATGGCAGCGGTGAAAGAGAAGATGGTCTTTGTTTATTTCAAGGAATCACCATAGCACATGTTCACGTACCCATAATTCTTGACTGTGCTGTCCCACGCAAACTGGTCTAAAGATATGTTCGTATGAATGAAAATAAACAGAACTTTTGTTAGAACAGAATACTCCTTTGGTAAGATACTGACAGTATCTAAATAACTTCTTACCAGCTGTTCATTGTGATCTGTCTTGAGATCCCACAAATGAATTACACCACTCTGATCACCCACAACCAGTTCCGCTTGGTTTGGATGCAAACACACGCAGTTAACTGGTGCCGACACCTGGAAAATGCGCTGGCACTGTAAGTTCCTTGACCTATATGATAAACAAGAGAAAACAACAATGTGTATGTTTTCAGTGAGCAAAAAGCATGTGGAAGACTTTTTGATACTTAAAATTTAAAAAAAAACTTCTTCTGTGACATTTCAGGTTCTTCTGCTGACGAGCACAGAGATGGCTGTCTCCTGCGATGTTGCACCATGTAGTCTGATAGATATTAACTGATATTTCAGAGGAGCTTACTGCCTCCATCATCAGTATAAACAACTACTACCAGACCACATGGTGCAACCTCCCAGAAGACAGCCATTCTCACCTAGTGCTGCAAGGATATTTAAATGTAGAAAGCTACGATGGGCTGGCCATGCAGCTAAGACAAAGAATTCATAAAACAATTAATAGTAGGGAAACTTCTTGGGCAGCCAGAATAATAAGAGATGGAAGGATATCTTTAGATGGATCTTAGGGAGATACATTGTGAGGTGAGAGGTGGACAGAACTGCTGCATTATCTTAAGCTCCACCAAGGTGACTTGCAACACAGTACCTGAGGTCCCAGATCCTTGCACTGCAATCCTCTCCTCCTGTGTACATCCATTTCCCCTCCTCCTGAAAGCCAACCCCTGTCACATTTTTAGATACTCCTTCATAGTTGATAACAGGGTTTGGGTTGCTCGAACTAAGGTCATACATACGAATATGCTGGTACCCTGTAAAAAGCAAATGACTATAAGTAATGCTGGCAACTTCTGCGTACAAAAAGGAAGTCATGACATTCAGTAAACTGAACACGTCATAAAAAATGAAAATGTTTGAAGGGTAGATGATTTAGAATTACAGACAAAATTCAAACACCTATGTGAAATGTATGTAACACAACTGATGAAGAAAGGCACAGTTAAATAAAGGAATATAGAAAACACCCATCACCAAAATCCTTCTGATATTTCTTGATTCAAACAATTTAAAATTACATCACAATAATGGAGAATGAGAAAATCAAGCATTCAGTGATGTCAAAATAAAAAATTAACATTGCTACCAACAAATAGCAGTCTTCCCATATAAAATAATATTTAAAAGTTCTCTACCTGCAGCAGCAATAAGCTGTTTGTCTGGTGTAATATCCAAAGCATTCACTTGCTACACTTGTGTCAAGGAATTGCACCAACATGGTGTGACAGGTTTATTGACAAATTGATTCTGCAAGTCTATCAGATGTTACAATTCAAAGTAACTTCATTATCATTTCAAACAAAAGACATAACACTTTTTATAATTATTTCTGCATTTATATATTACTTCAGTAATTTATGTTGATGCTTCATGTTTAATAAGAAGGTACTGTATGTGTTCTAAGGATTGTCTATTATTCACTCATGGTAAAAAGATGAGTTCCACTCCCACTCACAAACATATATACATACAAACTACAAACACACATTGCCCTGGCCTGCAGCTATGAGTTTAGCAGCAGAAATGCTGGTCAGACAGTGACAGGTTCAATTCTACAATTCCTTTCTGGCAACATCATTTTTAGCTTCTCTCATAATCACAACAAAGTTAATGGGATTCCCCTTCACAGTTTTTTTGTCACATCACTATGGTTTTACTTCTCCATACACCACCAAGTCTACACATTTCTTAGTGAAAGTTTCTTCTGGTGGGGGGGGAGGAGGATCACTGTAAAAGTTTTGTTTACGTTTCTTATTCTTTGCAGCTTTATTAAATTTCCTTATTCAACCATCCTTCTGGAAGGCTTCATTTGTTCTTCCAGACTGAGAACAATGAATCAATTAAAATGCTATTCTAGGTAATTCAATTCAAATCCTTCCCGATTCCTTTGCACTGCAGTGATGTGGCATTCTAGAACAGAACCCTATTTTGGCTGAAGGCTAAAATAAGAGTACGACTTTGATATTAGGATATTTCCTTTCAAATCCCCTCTTGCAGGAAAAAATCCCAGGCAATAGTACGACATCAGGTATACATTAAAAGACGCTTAAAAGGATACAGAATCGGTGTGTTGTGCCGTTCGTTGACAAACTCCAGTATGAGCTTGCCACAACTTAATTGTGTGGTCATACCCACCGGTGACCAAAATAACCTGATCGCTGTTCCCTTGGACATCACCACTCATACTTGGGCTATTACAAGAAAACAAGTCACTTACAACCATGTCAGATGATGCAAAAAACAGAGACGTGCACTTTAATAGCAACACTTCTTTCAGACTACCTCGCTTTACGACACGTTCTCAATACTTGCTGTCATTACTATGATCCCACCAGCTACAAACATCGCCATCTTCATTAGCTCTCTTTAACTATTCTACCTTCCAGAGTGACCAACATCTTTTCTCTGAAAACTTTAAATTCTTCCAACAATTATTTCCTAAAAATGAATTTCAAATTTACATAAACTCTTATTTTGTTAACATTTCAAGTTAAAGGAAAATTGCAACACTTTTTTTAATAATACTGCTCTTATTTCTAGTTAACACCGCCAAAAACGCATAAGTTGCTTTTAAAGATTGAAAGGTTAAAGTTTGCGATTCAAACGTAATAATTCATGGCGGTCTCTTCAAACTACGTGAAAAAATGTTTTATTTTAAAAAGAATTTAATGGTTTAAGATTCTTGTATCATATTAACTGCAATTTAAATCTCTTCTGCGGCAGATATGGACAACATCTTCATATCAACTAGTGAAGATACTTATTTTCCATATCTTGAACAAAATGCACCAACTGTTAGAAATCTTGAAGAGGATGGGAGTATTATTTCTGAACCTATATCCCCTAGTTCATCACCAGTAGCTGCAGATGTACAAACAATTAGTGTACACAATCCTGAAGATTCTTCAGGATGGAGACACAATGACTTGTGTTCCATTTATGAAATACGTATCCTTTAATCAATATATCTAGCAATTAATAAAAAGGTGGCACAACATGATGGAAATCTGCCACTCAAGTAACTGTACACTTATTAGCTGTCACAAAATTATAATTTTATATTAAGATCTTTAATTTGTCACAGCTAGACAATATCAACATATTTTTGCCTCATACCCATGTTTTAATGCAATACAGTCAAAAGTTCTGGATGACGTTCTGTATTCAGGTATGAACAATAATCACACCCTTCAACATTCTTAAACATAAAATTTCGAAATTTTTCTTAATGTCAAAATGTAACTAGACAAAAGTAACAAATCTAGTTTATATTTTACAGATACATCAATAGTAGTGTCAGCTCCTACTGGTTCAGGGAAAACAGTTATTTTTGAATTGGCAGTCATCAGATTGCTAATAAAATTAAAAGATGTGGAATTTACAGGAGAATACAAAATTGTATATAGTAAGTAAACATTATCATTAGCAACATGAGCAAATTATACCAACACTTCTTAATGACAAACTCAAATGTAAATATAAATTACAACACAGAATTTGTATTATAATTCTCCACATGTATATACATTAAATACACAATAATGAAGAAACTGCCCTAAAGATTAAAATACAACCATAAAATTTACATAATATAGACATTAATCATAGTCTAACCTAAAAGAAATGTATGTTATTGTCAAAATGTGACGGCTCAGAGTAATTGTTGGTAGTAGTGTGTAACAAATGTTTCTTTCCCTTTGTTTTAATGTGAATGGAAATTCGATGTGTGTACTTTCACCAGGAATGTCTGATATAGACTCAAAATGTGCATTCTGAAATTCAAGAATGACAGCAGACACAAACTGTTGCAGAATGCTTTTAACAGTGTTATAACCTGCTTATGATGCAATGAAAGACTATAGAATTAATGAACAGTAAGACAGACAAAATGGATGAGAAAGCACTATGCCCTTTAGTAAATTTGAGCATGAGAGTACAATCCAATTGACATAATTTAGGAGTCATAGCAAAAGGGCATGTTTTATCACAAATGACTGACACATTTCTGAGTTTGTTGGCAGCAATACATCTGAAACTGAATTGAACTAACTTTACTTTCTCAATTTATGTAAGTTTATCCCTTGCAACTTTCTTTGAAACACAGCTGTTGCATAGATCAAGGAATACCTGCATGTACATTTTTTGTAATACATCACAGCTGACTCATATCAAATCCTACCACTGAACTTAACACAGCAACAAAATCATTACTCATATGGAACCATAAGCATGTAAACATATTCTGACAGTGGCTCCTGTGAAGGCCTTGTGTTCAGAGAGATTCCAAGACTGGAGGTCCAAATTCTCTTCCCTTGGTGTGAAGTGCAAAGAATATACAGGCGACACTGACGAAAACGATCTATCTAGTCTCTCAACTTACCACTTGATCCTAACTACACCAGAGAAATGGGACTCCCTCACCAGAAAGTGGAAGGACAACAAGGGAATAGTTCAGATGGTCAAATTATTCCTCATCGATGAGGTAGGAAGTTATGATGTGGAACATGTATTCCCACCATAACAAAAGGTTTGTATTATTACACGTGAGCATTTAGGCTAAGTACATGTTAATTCAGGGAATAGGTTTGAAGCATATCTGTTCATGTTTCAGTACTTTGTTTACACTTAATAAGAATTTGTGAATAGCAAAACAACTGTAATGTTTAACATACTTTCCTTTCTTAATCCATAGGTGCATCTTCTGAACGAAGAACAGCGTGGTCCAACTCTGGAAGCAGTGGTGAGTCGTATGAAGACAGTACGGGGGGCTATTTGTCACACACAACGACAAACACAAGAACAGCACCACAATGACTCGCAGACAACGGTACAAAATCACAGAGATGTTTCTGAGATTGGTGGAGAATAATTATGTAAATTGTTACAGCATGAGCCTTTGCATAATACAGAATTTAAAAACA